CCTCCAAATGCAGCCCTAAAGGAAGGGGCTGCTGGAACTTGAGATCACTGCCCTCTTGTGACAGTTATTATCATCATCATCATCATCATCATCATCATCATCGATGGTTTGGGGCAAGTCCCTGGGGCTCAGAAAAAACAGAAATTTCCACCCACTCAGGAAAGGCCGTGCAGAAGGGCAGGAGCTGGAGGATAAACAGCACCTTCCAGAAGGAAAGAGAGGACGTGGAGAGAGGGAAAGATGGAGGAAATGAAATGAGGGGGTGGGGGGTGGAAAAGGCGCCCAGGAATATGCCTCTGGGAAACCAGAGAGGCTTCCGGAAGCGACAGGCACACCTCCCTCTGGAAACCAAGTCCGGCGCTTTCACGCGGGTTTGCTGTCCCAGGCACGAGGGAGACTGCGGCTGGTCACTGAGGTTTCCACAGTCAAGAAAGGAGACGCCTGGGGCATAACCGACAGGACACGGTCACGTCCAGGTCTACTGTGCCCAAGGCCAGCCCCTCGAAAAGCACAACGGGTAAGTGCCATTAGGTGCCAAAGCCCTGGCGGCCCCTACCCCCAAAAGTCACACCCGCGCCCCCAAATGTCACGGCGAGCAGCCGACGCCTTTGCTCCGAGTCCCAGCAGCCACCCTCTATGTGCCCACCTGTCCCTGCCGCTCCCCCCGCTGGGATGTGTCGCTGCGCTCAGGGGAAGCACGGCCGGCCACCCTCTCGTGGACGGTGGCACGCCTGACTCTCACCGGCCCCACGCACACCGCCTGTCATGTCATGCAGGCTGGGAACTGTGCGATGGCGCCGAGCCTCCCCGGCCCGTGGCAGGTGATCTATTTAATTGAGGCCTGTCGGCGGGTCAGAACTCCCTGATGACGGGCCGAGGGAAAGGGCAGAGAGTTAATTGTGTTCCCTGCCAGCCACGGATCTAAAGACAAGCCACCACCCGCCCTTAGGGACGCTGAGGCTGCGGGAGGGCCTGGCGCTCTGCGGGCTCTGCCTCCCTCCTCCATCCCCCACCAGCTTCCCGCGTCCCTCATCATCCCCACTTAACCCAGACACATGAGGTGACATTAAAAAATTGATGCTGTTTTTATTACTGAGAAATGGCAATAATAATGACATCCGTAACACAATCTTAAAGTATTCCACATAATGGAAAAAAAACTAAATGTCCCCCCTTATCACCAGCCCGAATATGGATGAAGCTGACATAACATGTGACCTTCTCTCCTGGGGAGCCGGGCAGCGGCCTGCTGCCCAGGGCCAGGCTGGCTCAGGGGGGCAGGGACCGGCCTCAGAGCAAACAGGAACACAGGGTGGCACAGACTCTGAGGCAGCGGGTACAACCCTGCCTTGGGCTCCATCAGCAGGTCATTGCCGTCTTCCTGGTCTCGGTTTGTCTACATGTTCAGGGTCATGGGTCACAGCAAAGAAGCCCAAAGACAAGGAGGATGTCCGTTCAAAGTAAGAGGTCCCTACTGGTTTTTGGGGCACTAGGATTGCACCTCTAACTCCGTGGGAGGCCCTGTCCCTACAACAAAATGACACCCAGTTATGTTCTCAAGCTTCTCATTTTCAATACTCGATGCTTCTGAAATCCTGGCTGAAGAAGCCCGAGCTCCCTCCTCCAAGCAGCCTTCCTAGATAAACCCAGCCTTGTCTGGATTACATATGCCTCCTCTCTGTACTGCCCTGACATCCCACACACACTGCTCTCGTAACATTTGCAAAACTGCACAGTAAACTTTCCGTTTCCTTGGCTCATGACATCCTTAAAGCAGGAGCTGTGTCTTCCAACTCTACTGTCAGGCCCAGCACAGTGTCAGTGTTCAATAACCAAACTGACTGACTGGCATGAACAATATCACAACATCTCCAAAACGATGTACAACAAGCATGTCAAACTCGTGGCCCGCAGGCCGCATGCAGCCCACAACAAATAATTTTGCAGTCCAATTAATGTAACAGTATATAAGAAACGTTTTAATAAAAATTTTAATAACTTAATTTTTACAATATCCTGTTACACATAATTATTAATAACGAACTAAAATGTTAGCTAATGACTGATTACTATCATCATGTTGCATTCATTTCCCATACAAACCTAACGTGCAGGCGCACCATTTCTCACCACTAATACTAGCAGCGAATATTTTAGCAGCTGATTGCCACGTCATTAGTCTTGTACTGACTTGTCTGGTGTACGCAACAGGAAATATTTCACTTTCGGAGAACAAGAAAAATAGGTTTATTTGCATTATGCTTATTAATTTGTGCAGTTATTCAGTGTCTGGTAAGTTAATGTTCAAGAAAAATATTAATTTTTACTGAAA